TGTTTTTCCCTCAGGATCCACCTCCATGTGGTGTTCCCACCCTAATTCCCGAGATTTGAGTGAAATATTTGAATTTTCAGGATTGTTTTCCCTCAGGAGCCGTCTCCATGGGGTGATCCCACCCTGATTCCCAAGTTTGGAGCGAAAAATCTGAATTTTTGGGATTGTTTTCCCTCAGGAGACGCCTCCCTGGGATGTTCCCACCCTAATTCCCAAGTTTTGAGCGAAAAATGTGAATATTTGGGATTGTTTTCCCTCAGGGGCCACCTCCATGGGGTATTCCCACCCTGATTCCCAAGTTTTTGGTGAAAAATGTGAATTTTTGGGATTGTTTTCCCTCAGGAGCCGCCTCCATGTGGTGTTCCCACCCTAATTCCCGAGTTTTGAGTGAAAAATTTGAATTTTCAGGATTGTTTTCCCTCAGGATCCACCTCCATGGAGTATTCCCCTCCTGATTCCCGAGTTTTTGGTGAAAAATTTGAATTTTTTGGATTGTTTTCCCTCAGGATCCACCTCCATGTGGTGTTCCCACCCTAATTCCCGAGTTTTGAGCGAAAAATGTGAATTTTCAGGATTGTTTTTCCAGCCTCCAGGATTGTTTTCCACCTTCCATGCTTGTTTTCCTCTCCCTTCCCACACTTCCCCACCTCCCCTCTCCCCCATCCCACAGAAAAGAGGGATCCAGGCGTGAAAAATTCCACATTTTTCCCTCCCCAGACCGCCAGCGACGACCGAGAATGCGAAAACCAACTGGTTCTGCTGCTGGGCTTCAACACCTTCGACTTCATCAAAGTCCTGCGGCAGCACCGGATGATGAGTGAGTTTTTTTTCCCCCCCTTTTCCAGTGGAATTCCGACAGGTTTGGATCCGTTTTTCCATGTTTTTCCCGTTTTTTTTTTCCCCTTTCTAGTCCTGTACTGCACCTTGCTGGCCAGCGCGCAGAGCGAGGCGGAGAAGGAGAGGATCATGGGGAAGATGGAGGCGGACCCCGAGCTCTCCAAGTTCCTCTACCAGCTCCACGAGACGGAGAAAGAGGATCTGATCCGGGTAAGGGAAGCTCTGTGGGATTTGTGGGATTGCTGGGATCCGGTTTTGGGTGGGAAACGGGGGCTGGAATCCTCCTCGCGAAGTCTGAGGGAAGCGACGCTGTCGTCGCCGCTTCTGCTTTCCCAGGGCCTCCTTCGCAGGCCAATTCCTTCAAAATGTCACCCAAATCACCCCAAAACCCCCTCAAATCCCACAAAACATCCACAGTGCTCGGTCCTGGTTTATGGAGGCCTTTTCCCAAAGGTTTTCCCAAAGAAATTGGGGAATAGGGGCACCTCGGGATGAGGCTGAGCCTCTTCCTTGAGGCCAAATCCTATTTTTTCCCCTCACGGTGAGGCAGGAGCCACATTTCTGAGGGGAAATTTGGTTTTCCCGCCAAAAATTGTTGTTACCACTTTATCAAAATGTTATTCCTGGTTTATGGATGCCTTTTTCCAAAGGAATTTGGGATCAGGAGCACTTTGGAGGAGGCTGAGCCTCTTCCTGGGCCGAATCCCGATTTTTCCCCTCAGGGTGGGTCAGGAGCCACATTTCTGATGGGAATTTTGGTTTTCCCAACAAAAATGGTCATTTCTGGTTTATCAAAATGGTTATTCCTGTTTTATGGATGTGTTTTTCCAAAGGAATTTGGGATCAGGAGCACTTTGGAGGAGGCTGAGCCTGTTCCTTGTGGCTGAATCCCGATTTTTCCCGTCAGGAGTGGGTCAGGAGCCAAATTTCTGAGGGGAATTTTGCTTTTCCTACCAGAAATGGTCAATCCTGGTTTATTCCCGAGGAAATTAAGGGATCAGGAGCACGTTGGGATGAGGCTGATCCCTTTTCCCAGGGCCAAATCCCAATTTTTCCCCTCAGGAATGGGGCAGAACCCAAATTTCTGAGGGGAATTTTGCTTTTCCTACCAGAAATGGTCATTCCTGGTTTATTCCCAAGGAAATTGAGGGATCAGGAGCACGTTGGGATGAGGCTGATCCCTTTTCCCAGGGCCAAATCCCAATTTTTCCCCTCAGGAATGGGGCAGAACCCAAATTTCTGAGGGGAATTTTGCTTTTCCCACCAGAAATGGTCATTCCTGGTTTATTAAAAGGAAATTGAGGGATCAGGAGCACCTTGGGATGAGGCTGAGGCCTTTTCCTGGGCCTGAATCCCGATTTTTCCCCTCAGGAATGGGGCAGAACCCAAATTTCTGAGGGGAATTTTGCTTTTCCTACCAAAAGTGGTCATTCCTGGTTTATTCCCAAGGAAATTGAGGGATCAGGAGCACGTTGGGATGAGGCTGAGGCCTTTTCCTGGGCCTGAATCCCGATTTTTCCCCTCAGGAATGGGTCAGGAGCCAAATTTCTGAGGGGAAATTTGCTTATCCCCATAAAAATGGTTCTTCCTGGTTTATTCCCAAAGAAATTGAGGGATCAGGAGCACCTTGGGATGAGGCTGAGGCCTTTTCCTGGGCCTGAATCCCGATTTTTCCCCTCAGGAATGGGTCAGGAGCCAAATTTCTGAGGGGAATTTTGCTTTTCCTCCTAGAAATGGTTCTTCCTGGTTTATTCCCAAGGAAATTGAGGGATCAGGAGCACCTTGGGATGAGGCTGAGGCCTTTTCCTGGGCCTGAATCCCGATTTTTCCCCTCAGGAATGGGGCAGAACCCAAATTTCTGAGGGGAATTTTGCTTATCCCACCAGAAATGGTCATTCCTGCTTTATTCCCAAGGAAATTGAGGGATCAGGAGCACGTTGGGATGAGGCTGATCCCTTTTCCCAGGGCCAAATCCCGATTTTTCCCCTCAGGAATGGGTCAGGAGCCACATTTGTGAGGGAAATTTTGCTTATCCCACCAAAAATGGTCATTCCTGGTTTATCAAAATGGTTATTCCTGGTTTATGTGTGCCTTTTTCCAAAGGAATTTGGGATCAGGAGCACTTTGGAGGAGGCTGAGCCTCTTCCTTGAGGCCGAATCCCAATTTTTCCCCTCAGGAATGGGGCAGAACCCAAATTTCTGAGGGGAATTTTGCTTTTCCCACCAGAAATGGTCATTCCTGGTTTATTAAAAGGAAATTGAGGGATCAGGAGCACCTTGGGATGAGGCTGAGGCCTTTTCCTGGGCCTGAATCCCGATTTTTCCCCTCAGGAATGGGGCAGAACCCAAATTTCTGAGGGGAATTTTGCTTTTCCTACCAGAAATGGTCATTCCTGGTTTATTCCCAAGGAAATTGAGGGATCAGGAGCACGTTGGGATGAGGCTGATCCCTTTTCCCAGGGCCAAATCCCAATTTTTCCCCTCAGGAATGGGTCAGGAGCCACATTTGTGAGGGGAATTTTGCTTTTCCCAACAAAAATGGTCATTCCTGGTTTCTTCCCAAGGAAATTGAGGGATCAGGAGCACCTTGGAGAGGGCTAAATCCCGATTTTTCCCCTCAGGAATGGGTCAGGAGCCAAATTTCTGAGGGGAAATTTTCTTTTCCTACCAAAAATGGTCATTCCTGGTTTATCAAAATGGTCATTCCTGGTTTATTCCCAAGGAAATTGAGGGATCAGGAGCACCTTGGGATGAGGCTGATCCCTTTTCCCGGGGCTAAATCCCGATTTTTCCCCTCAGGAGGAACGCTCCCGGCGGGAACGCGTGCGGCAATCCCGCATGGACACCGACCTGGAATCCATGGATCTAGACCAGGGAGGAGAGGTAAAATCCTTGCATTTACTCACCTCAAACACCCCCAACCACTCCCAAAAAAGATTACACAAATTCAAATCTGAATTCCCAGCTGGAATCTGCTGCTTTCCCTTCAAACCCAAGGAAAAAAAATTCCAATTTTTTTGTTTTTTCTGGGTTTTTCCAGGGTTTTCCAGTCACACCTTATCCTTTATTTTGATTTTTTTTGGTTTTCCCATTCACACCTTACCCTTTATTTTATTTTCCCATGTTTTCCCGGTGTTTTCCAGGCACACCTTATCCTTTATTTTCTTTTTCTGAATTTTCCCATGCACACCTTATCCTTTATTTTGGTTTTTTTCTGAATTTTCTCAGGTTTTTCCAGTCACACCTTTTCCTTTTTTTTTTTGTTTTTTCCATGTTTTCCTGGTGTTTTCCAGTCACACCTTATCCTTTTTTTTGTTTTTCCCAGGTTTTTCCATTCACACCTTACAGTTTTTTTTATTTTTCTGAATTTTTCTATTCACACCTTACCCTTTATTTTATTTTTCCTGGATTTTCCTGTTGTTTTCCAGGCTCACCTTATCCTTTATTTTATTTTTCTGAATTTTCTCATGCACACTTTATCCTTTATTTTGGTTTTTTGGTTTTCCCATTCCCACCTTACCCTTTATTTTGATTTTTTTTGGTTTTCCCATTCCCACCTTACCCTTTATTTTACATTTCCCAATTTTCCCGTTGTTTTCCAGGCTCACCTTATCCTTTATTTTGTTTTTTTCTGGTTTTCCCATTCACACCTTACCCTTTATTTTGTTTTTTTCTGGTTTTCCCATTCACACCTTACCCTTTATTTTGGTTTTTTGGGTTTTCCCATGCACACCTTATCCTTTTTTATGTTTTCCCAGGTTTTTCCAGGCACACCTTATCCTTTATTTTCTTTTTCTGAATTTTCCCATTCACACCTTATCCTTTATTTTCTTTTTCTGAATTTTCCCATGCACACCTTACCCTTTATTTTGGTTTTTTTGGTTTTCCCATGCACACCTTATCCTTTATTTTGGTTTTTTGGTTTTCCCCATTCCCACCTTACCCTTTATTTTGATTTTTTTTGGTTTTCCCATTCCCACCTTACCCTTTATTTCATTTTCCCGAATTTTCCCATTCCCACCTTACCCTTTATTTCATTTTCCCATGTTTTCCCGATGTTTTCCAGGCTCTGGCTCCCAGGCAGGTGCTGGATTTGGAGGATTTGGTGTTCTCCCAGGGCAGTCACTTCATGGCCAACAAGCGCTGCCAGCTCCCGGACGGATCATTCCGGAGACAACGCAAGGGCTACGAGGAAGTTCACGTTCCTGCCCTCAAACCCAAACCCTTCGGAGCTGACGAGGTGAATTCCCAAAGA